CAATTTTTACTCAAGTTACAGCTTGCACGGACGGACGGACAGACGGACGGACGGACAGACAGACATCCGGATTTCAACTCTCCTCGTCACCCTGATCACTTTGGTATATATAACCCTATATCTGACTCTTTAGGTTTTAGGACTTACAAACAACCGTTATGTGAACAAAACTATAATACTCTCTTTAGCAACTTTGTTGCGAGAGTATAAAAATATGTATATTTTTAAGGCAAGGTAAAAACATATGAAATTATCTCTGGAATTTAGAATAGATATTTATCTAAAAARTGATTGTTTAACAACTTTAGTCGAAAAATGCGTCATTACGAAGGGAAACTTGGTTTTCTTATAGCAGACAGAGTACTTACCCACCTTGATAAGAGATATTCAAGCTCGAAAAAATGCTCGAGAGCTTTCAAATACTATAAATATTGGAAAATTTCTATGAAAAAGTACGCCCGTAAAAAGAAATGAGGTCAAACGCGCTTGGTATAATGAGCGCTTTTTGAAGTTCTTCCTCACTTTTTTTTTTTGAAATTGGGTGACTATCAAATTGCGAATAAAAATTCTTAATCTTATGACCCAAAGATTAGAATTATAAAAAAAAGGTCAATTCTAAAAATTAKGCACTTGAAAAGAACTCTAAACTGATCAATCATGGATATAGTTCTTTTTGTCACAAACGAAATGTGAATTATGTATCTTMTTACAATTAATTAAAAGGGCATCTTTAGTGGTGTTCCAGGGGCCCGATTATGATAATTATACTGCTTAGGAGTACGTAGGATATTGACAACTCTATCGTAAGGCTTGATATTTTTGATGTTTTACTTACGWAGAACGTTTTTCTCATACCACCTCATTATATTTACAGTAACTTAAAATATTCTTCTGGGCCAAAAACTGGTATTAAATCGCGATTGTTTTTAACAACTCTTGACGTGGATTATATCAGCAACAGTGCATCGATGAACTTAATTCAGATTTTGGCGATGATATTTTATCAAGAACCATTATTAATCGATCACACCAAGAACGATTTCGTGAAGGTCGCCCAAAAAAAGTTCTTGTTGTTCTTGAAACTATTGATGCTGTTCCCAAGCCAATATTGTTAGATTGTCATGTGACCTGTTGTGAGATTTAGACAACTATAGGCATTAGCGAACCAGCATACATCCAATATTGCATATACGTACAGGACAGTCGACGGTAGGGATATTTGAAGATGTGCCGAGTGCAATAAAAGTTGTTGGCATGAAGCACTTCCAAGCAAAAGTTGCCTGGTTTTTTASTTTGGAACAATTGGACATGTCGTWGCCGTACCACTAGCACAACGCTGAACAGTAAATTCTAAGTAGTAAAAACCAGTTGCTTTCAAGCAATTAGTGCAACCAAGACACACCGAAAATGATTCACTCTTCACCACGAAAATTACCGCTCTCAAACATCGAAAGAAATAATTGTAACTTTTAATACTTAAAAAATCGATTTGATGAGTTATTCACTGTACAGTCTTGACTTAGAACTGAATGACTTCTTCTTATTCCCTTAGGTAAAAGATAACCAACAGGGATTGTSCGGAAAGTAAAAGAAATRTCTTTGAAATAATCAAATTTYTTTCGCTAATATCTTTCAAACGGTKGGGTTTTTGAAAATATCCACCATTTTTGTTGAGCATTGCATTTTATACAAAATCTATGAAACGAAATAGTTTTTCAAGTATTTTGAAGCGAGATTTGAGTTTTTCTGACTAATAATAACATAAAAATAGAAAACTGTAAGGCCAAGTGCCTTCCTCTGACAACTAAGAGCTTATACTTGGAGATACTTTCTTAGAGATGCCTAAGAACCCATTTTTTTTGTGGACCAAGCGAACCAAACTATTCCTATTTTATAACCTACCTTAATTTATAATTAATTTTCAAGAAATAATAAAAAAAATATATGAGACCAGATTTATGACCCAAAAAAAAAACTGAAATTTCAAAGTCTTTTTTTTTGGTATGCTAATGCCACGTAATATTTATGACTTTGAAAATTAACACTTTACTTTAATWGTTTGTTTTCGTGTTGGCAACTCTGCTTAGTTTAAGTTGTCACAGTCACACAGAATTATTGAGCGCTTGGCTAAACAAATACACGACAATGCTTGCAATGCTGTCAAATTGTCATTTATCAGCTGAACATATGCCTATATAAATATACACACACAACCAAACACACGCKCATGCCGCAGCGCAGGCAATATCTTATCGCAGTTGTCAAAGCGTTCACTGTTAAGGCCAGGCGCACAACCTAACTAAGCTAAGCGTTGTCATTGCGCCAGTCGCTTTCGGACAAACGCGTGACTAACGGCTAATGAAAAACAGACGCCGGCGAACGGTAGGCCGTAGACGCTAGACGACAGCAACAACACGCGGCATTGTGACGACACAWACGGGTGATAATTTCCAAACATATCAACTTGTTCATGTTTACACACACGATACCGGTTTGGCGATTTGGCGAATAGCGGAGCGTAAGTMGCCCACAGCGGAGTGTTGTGCAAGTGAAAATGAATTGAAAAA